CTAATCCTGTTGTAATCAAAATACCTCAGACATTACCTTTCAGAGTTGAGGACGAGGATAATTTCTCTGTACTTTCGTAAACGATCTCTTAACAGCTGATGAAGGCTCCATGATAATGATGCTATAGTTGTCAACTCTGAAAAGTAATGTTTTAGTACCTTTTGAAGTAACAAGATGTTAACCATTCAGACTGCACTAACACACTCTTAAGAAACATAAACCTAACAAAAATGTGAGGAAAATGCCCCAAGGCATTTGCCTCATAAGTACCCCCTTGTGGTCCTAAATGTGGTCCTAGTACATTATCTGCATAGGAAAACGCTAAGAAATAATTAAAGAATATTCATGTATACATGTACAAGTTAAGAGTGGGAAGATTAAAATAGATTAAAATTTAAATTGCTACAAATCAAGGTTACTTAGAAGTTCAATTTAGTCCAAACTAGATTTTGATTGGTCAAACCTGCAGCATCATTTCTACATTGACTGATTTTTAATAATCGTTTATTACTCATCTGAAAATGCAATTTGAACCAACTTGTTTTTCAAATAAAATATTAGTATGATTACTGGAGTATTATCTACCATCATAGTGTATATATAGAAATGGTAATCCAGGCAATTGTCAGCTTTGCATTTTGAAGAACAAGGAGCTTATATACTCCATATTGTACTCGCTGTATTTATGTGTTGTTTTAAGTGGGCTGTAATACCAAACAGGAAGAATCCTGTAGGAAGCCGGAGTAGTGACGTACAGTGCTGTTAGCCATCGTAGATCATAAAGTTCATTTGCTTTTAAAAGGTGTACCACAAACCATCTACTATATCTCTACTCCTACATAATCTCTGCAGATTGATCAAGGATTAATTTTTGGAAATTGATCATAACCGTCGGCGTGACCGTCAGTATAAAGTGCATTTTAGCCTACGGGGCCGTTTGTGCTTGCTGTTGAATGTAGCGTTTCTCTTGTGCAACGATAGATATCTTTGGTTTTGAATTGATCATTCCATTCAGAAGGTGGTGATTATTTATTGAACAGAAATTGCATTGTTGTAATAGACTCGGCAAACTCTGTTGATTTAGTTGAGGAATGAAAACATCTATTGTAGAATAATTGATTGCATCTATCTCTACAGCTTTGATTGGTGCATCAGTTAAATTTTGACGTGGATTTTCCGACAGTTATTTCTTTTTGAGTTAATTGATGTTTGAAGCACAGCTACAGAAGATCAAGTAGTGTAGCTTGAAGGTATCCAGGATTTAAGCTTAGCTATTACGCAGTACGGAGGAGTATGTTAACGTTATGGCTTGTAATATATGATTCTGGATGCTTGCCTTAGTTTTTATCGTGGAATATACACTGTAATTTTTACATGACACAGCAACGTTACTATGTATATCAGCTTTCTCCCAACGATTTTTTTAAAGAAAATTTTTTGAGTACATATATGTCAGAAAGCTAGGTGATGAATTGCTTGAGGGGTGTTGTGTCATCCGTGACTAGAAAGAAGGGGATATATGAAGTAGCGGAATATCATTCTTGGTAAGAATAGGGAAAAGGAGAAAATTTAGAAGGGAGTGATTGTTTTTTTTGGGGTGGAGGGGGTGGAGAATAGTAGGGTTGAGAAGCAAGAATAAATTGACTTTTTATAAAACAATTGGACAGTTAACAGTGATACCTTTAGAATTTCATATTTGTTAGTTTCATCAACATTAGAAGATCTGATTAGTTTTATTTATTAGTTATTTGAATTAGATTTTTTTTTTTAACAACAGTACTGTTCACATAAATGGTCAAATTTTCTCAACTAAGTTATTTACTAGAAACTAAGGTTAAATTTATTTATACCTAGTTTAGAAAACTAAATTCTTGAAAGATATTAAAATAATTTTCTCATTTAGTTCTTTTTTACAGCATTCTTTTTACAGTTATTTTTTTATTATATTTAGTATATTATTGTAATTTATAATAATACATTTAGCCACTGAAAATAGATCAGTTATACTGTGGGCAGTCATTGACTAGATAATCTAGTTAGCATATTATTATTATTATTGGTTGTTTACTATTAATCTATTAATATATAGGTCTTCCCTAATCAAAGACCACCTCCAATTAAAGACCATTTGGTCCAAAATTAATATATGTCTATCTTTATTATTCTTACAGAGACCAAAGAGGTTAGATCATGGAAATCCTGGTCCTAAATATGGTCTTTGATTGTAGGGAGACCTGTATTGTTTACTATATTAATATTTGCATTTGTTTATCATTATATGACAGGTTTTTTTTTATATATTATTTACCAAAACATATAGCAGTCGATCAATTCATGTGAATATCAAGATGGCAAGACTGATAGACTTGCATTGATTTTCTTGCACATGTTAAACATCAACAGATGTTGGAAGATCGCATTCCATCTAACATATTACAGTATGTACTAACTATACTAGTAATATTATCGATGCCTTTCAGTCTCTCAACCTCGAGGTTAGGGGTTTGAACCTTTGCTGTGCATTTCACTTGTGTCCTTGGACAAGACATTTTGCCTTCATTTGTCTATTTCTACCCAGGAGTACTGTATGTATAGGTACCTGGTTGATAGATACTGGGGAGATTGAAAAGGCAGTGTGGAAAGGAACTGGACACCCGACCACACAGTGCCGAGGCTTCGTACTATGGGCTCCTAACCAGTGACAGTGCCAGCGGGGGACAGGGGGCTTAAGTCCCCCCACCGGACAGGTCAAGCCCCGACGCCGGACAGAAATTGTCGGGCAGTCAGACCATAAAACATATAAAAGTAGGCCCACACCAAGCCAACACATGTCTGTTACAGTATGAGAGTGCCATTTCCGGCCATCCAGGGGTTGCTATTCTTTAAAAATCTCATTTGGGAGGGGGACGCCCTCTCAACCCCTTCCCCCAGCTCGCGCGTACGAGCTCAAGTCCTCCCTGTCGGACAACTTAGCCCACCTAGAAAATATATCCTAGAGCCGCCACTGCTCCTAACAGCACATTCTCTATGTTTATATACTTACCTTAAAAAGTTGAATGTAGTCAAGATGCAAAGAAATTTGTTGCTTTCAAATATGAAACATGATTAAAAACCACTGACGTAATTTTGTTCAACCATAAAATTGCAAGAACGTGTTAAAATGTACAAATACGTATTTTGGAAGTGATATATAATACTATTTGCACTTGGAGTCACTATTAAAAAACTGATTGCCCTACGGTAACAAGAGTTAGCAGTTAGTGCAAGAACTTAAGTGTAAAAAAACGACAACTCTGTATGATGTAATGAACATTAACATTTTTATGCAGCTGATGACATTCACCCTCCCGGATGGTAATTACCTATTGTCATAGTGGACATTTTCCTTACTGCTCGCACCCACAAACCATCTTCACCACAATTTTATTAATTTTCCCTGTGCCCTGCTAAATTCTGTAGTTCTAGAGGTATTGGCATGAAAGGAGATGGGTGTGGTATAATGAGAGGTACGTGATTGAAAGTGGGGACGTGTTTATTAGGGAATGAGGTAGTATGAGATGATTTTGAACTGTTTGAGTGTAATCATTTTTGGTCAGGAAATTTTTGCTGGGTAGTATGCAAATACTCTCATGTTCCCAATCGATTCTTAGACAAGTTTGTTTAATTGTTGTCAATGAGTATATACTGTAATTACTGAAACTATAATTTTAAAGCAAAATTTATTATGCTATATGGCACTCTAGCCTACTGCTCTGTAATAAACAATTTTTTTTTTCATGATTTTGAAAATTGCTAAGGGAATAATCAGGAACGGTATTCATGATGATAATATTCATGATGTGTAAAATATGACACTCCTATGTAACTTTTAATTGGATCATACACGATGTTTCACATCCTAAACCCAAATTATCACAATAACTACTCCTGTAGAATCACCTACTAAAGTGTAAAGCATCTACATGTACTGTAGAAACTCATTTGTTAATGTTATGATATTCGTTTTAATTAAAATTGTGATTGATAGTCAGTGTATATTTCATATATCAGAACCTGTCAATTACCAATACATTAATTTTCAATATCTTTGTTACAATAATGAGCTTTAATTTTCTTTTAATGTTTTACTTATGTATATAGTATGTATATGTTTTTGTGTATATTATATATATTTATCATCATTTGTCTTTGCTACAAGACTGATAGATTTTAAATTAAAATTTATCATTCTTCTAATTCTTGAATGGATCATCATTATATTATTTTATTTATTTATTCAAAATTGTTTACCAAGGAATGCCCAAAACAGCAGATAGCTGACGATCATGGGCCCTCACATAGAAGCATTACAATTCATAAAATTGTAACAACAACAAAAGCTATATAGAAATAAATATAAAAGAAATTTCTATACAAATTAAAAATATAAATGAATTATCAATGAATAATTTATTTAGAAAGAAATAAACAGTTCATTAAATAAAACTCAATAAAATATAAGAGTAATAAGAATATGAATCTATCAAAAATTTTGTTAATTGCATTAAATAGTCATATAGAAAAATACATATTATTTTATCTATCAAAAATCAATCAAAATTTAGTTACTTTGTATGGAAAAAATCCTGTTGTATCTTGTATTTTTAACATTTTGTTTTCTCTTTTGGAGCTTATTTGTTTGATTTCATAATGTACACAAAGTGCTTTTTTTTAAAATAATGAACTTATTTCTATAATCTATTTTTTAAAATATATTATTAATGCAAAACTCTTGTTTGTGAAATGTTGTGTCTAGCTAAACATATTATAGATATTCTTCAGTTCCTAACCGCTTAACCCACAAAGGCTTGGTCGAGTATTAACATGGCTAGTGTGGTTGAATTTCCAAGAGCATCAAGGCTAATTCTAAATCACTTCACGTTCATCAAAGGTAAACCCTTATAAGCTGTTGTATTCTAATCATTTCCCGGAATTAACATAGTAATTAATTTTGATTACAGTATTGAGAAGGATGGCAATCCACCAGTCATAAAGGATCACACGGAGAACAATGAACTTCAAACGAAAGAAGTGAGTCAAGCAATCAGGGATCCTGATGGTGCCTATACACAGGTTGATAAAACAAATCTTGATACAAAAAATGAAGACCGGGCGACAAATTCAACACCTTCGGAAATGAGTACCAAATTGGACAATACGCAACAAGATGGTGTGTTTTATATACGTTGGTTATTTAATAAAGATATATCGTTTGTAGAAAAATCCTCCAACATTTAATAATTACAATGTTGAAATACTTATTTCAAGAATACCTCTATTTGTTTTGGGAATAGTACCCAATCAAAATCAAGATTTAAAAAGATCAAATATGTTTTTAACTTATTGAAACAAAGATTGAAAAAAATCAGTTTCACTAATTTAGAGACAGAAATCCTTATATTGTCTTCCAGCCAAAAATTCATGTAAGGAATATAGGGATTAGTATATAAATGTCAGTCTGGTATATGACAAAGCAGTTTGGCAAGTCAGTTGCAGTTTGGTTTAAAAGATATTTATGTCTGGAAAATTATGAGGACCTTATTTATTTTGTTGCAAGAAGGTAAGTTGTAATGTTTAAATGTATTTTTTTCCCCCCATTTTTTAACAGTTTAAGTTGAACACTACTAGTTGTGAACTGTACTCGTTATACTCGTAAATCACAATCTCCATACCAAATTTACTTTCATGTGACTTACTATTATTCATTGCGTATTACACAATAGCTTGATTAATAACGTGTCCTAATGGGAAAATCCAAGGGCGTATACCTCTAGCTCAGTTGGTAGAGTATCCGAACGTTAATCAGAAAGTCTTGGGTTCGGATCCCGATGGGGCATACGTTTTTCTCAAATAGTTATTATCATCTTTAATTAACAAGGAGGTGGATCTCCATACCAAAACTTTCAGAAGATCAGAAATGTTGCGATTAGAATTTATATGCTTACATAATTATGATTATTGTTGTTCTTGTTTTTATTAATAATAATGTTTTGTTAATTTATAATAATTGTTGTTTATATGCATCCATATAATACATATTAATCTCCATCTTTAATAGAGGAAAGAAAAGAAATGGAGTCATCCACAGAAAAGGATGCAAATCCAACCGATGATCCCTTAGACTCTCAATCTTGCAGTGACCCAGGGAATGAGGAGAAAATAATTGGGTCGGAAGGGCCACAGATTCATGTCTTTGAACCGTCTCTGAATAATCAGGAGGAAGATGTTGAGGCCTCGGATTTATCAGATGCCACAAGTCTAGGTGGAGAAAGGTATAGTTCTGCTATGTAAATGCCAAATACAGTAGAGCCCCTATTAAGGGGACACCTTCAGGGACCAAAAAAAGTATCCCCTGAATAGGGATTGACTGTAGTGTTAAAATATACTTTCCCTCACTTTGTGGCTGGTGAACATGTGTCCACTTAAAAGGGTGTCTCATGCTGTATTGTTATTATTTTTTTTTTTTTTGCTTTACATTACACTGTTTTTGTTGATTTTTTTATTCCTCTATTCATTTCCTTATATTTTTTTCACAGTTTTTTTCTGCACAGCACAATTTCTTAAAGGTCAATATAAGCAAAGTCCATATGGCAAAGATTTTTCGAGTAAAAATTTAATATTGTAAAAATGTAATTCTGCATATCTCTTATATTGATAAATAAATAAAATTAGAATATTTGTTTAATGCAATATAACGTAATTTGCATTGTCTGAAGAATTTTAAACTAGTTAGAGTTAGTTTCAACACAAATTCCTGCGAAATGCTTCAGCCATCACTTCACCCACATAATACAATAGAGTGTAAGGTTTGTTAGCACCAGTACGATAGTACTTTGTAACTTCTATAATTTTAAACATCATTTTTACCAATAAGGATAAGCCCTATGTTTTGATTTAGCACCAATAAAATAGTACTTTTTAACAGCTATAATATTGAACATCATTTTTGTCAACGAGGAAAAGCCCTATATGTTCTGTTTTAGGCGAGACTTTTTTTATTTTTAAAGATCATCGGAGGAGGGAGGAATAAAAATAGAAATAAAATTTTGTTTTCTTATTTAGCAAATAATTTTGCCAAAAACATCCAGATGGAGGAGAAAATAAAAATAAAATGTTGTTGGAGATTTCATGGCAGCGGAGGGCGTAATAAAAATAAAGAAAAACTTTTATTTTTTTTCTGAAATTTCAAATTTTTTGTGGCGACGGGTGCACTAATTGGCCAAAAATAAGGTTTTATTTTATTCGAAATCATCAATATTTGCAGTTGGCATGGTTGGCTAAACAAGGTATAAAAAAAGTCCCACCTTAGCACCAATACAGTAGTACTTTTTAACTTCTATAATTTTGAACATCAGTTTTGTCAATGAGGAAAAGCCCTACTTTCTGTTTTACAAACATATATTCCAAATCTAGTTTCACTTTCATTCTGTTTACCCCAGAGTATATGTGGGTACCTTGTTGCAATTGATATGAGAAGCGGTTTGGTGCAGTGGGAATGGTTTGGTTTCCAACCACAAGGTCTGTGCATTTTCTATTGCTCCAGCTTACTCAGTTGTACCTAAGGGCCTGTTTCTACTGGAAAGAAAAAATCAATTAAAAATTGCTTTTTCGAAAAATCGCTTTTTTTCTTTCAGTAGAAATGGGACCAGTTAGAAAAAAGCGATTAAAAAAATTAATCAAAAATACACAATGGATAGCGTGTTTGAACAGCAAATAACCGATTTTGGATGTGCACCTTTTAGCTGCAACACAAAAAACTGATTATCAGGTGAAATATGACCTCAACAGGTCAAACCATTGCAAAGCTAGATCATATCAGGTGCGAAATTAGTCATCTTGTTCATGGCCTAGGCCTACAAGCTAAAATGTCAACAAACATGTGGAGCGATGAAATATTTTTGTAATTATTTTATGGGGGGATATTGGGCCTAGGCCTCCGTTCTTTTGGGCTTACCGTTGTCCTCATTTGGTTGCTCGTTTGTTGTGCCTATGAGCACAGCCGAAAAACATTTGCCTTCTCGCCGCACACTGTACCTTACTCCTCGTCATCATGACAGGAATGAGAAAGATACTGTACAGTGTGGAAAACATGTTGTATAAACAAAATGATGACATAATTTCCGTCATGGAAACCGATTTTCGTACAATAAAAAATGTAGTTGCAATGTGGGCAGGCTGTCTTGCACTCATTAAAAAAGTGGCTTAAAAAAATTGATTATTTTGTAGAAACACGGCCAATGGATACTAGCAAATTGCTGGGAGTAACCTGCTGTGGACCATCGTCCCGCTCGGGGGGAGTATTACACTCTCATCCGCTTCATGTTAAAGAAACTCGGGATGAGCTCAAGCCCTGTGAGTCCTAGTGGCTCGGCAAGAATTCACTTACCTTATTACTTTTTACAGTATGCACTACTGTATGTAAATGGTGCATTATTATTACCTGTTAGATCTGGATGCCAACCCGCTGCTTAATATGACACGTATGATTCAATGACCAGCGTAATAGTAGGAAGCAAGCTTTCAATTGCGAACATAGAACAAGAACGTAGAGCAGTTGTCGTATGCATTCTACTCTCAATTATAAATGAACTTAGATTTTTAACAATGCGTATGTGGACATGTTATGACGTTTTAATGCATCAATGTTCAATATAGTACAGTCCTTCATCTGGCCTGAACATAGATTCAGCTGACAATCTGTTTCAGATTTCAGGAGAGAACGTAACTCACAATTTTCAGGCATTCATTGCATCATTACGTTTTACATTGTTGCAAATCAAAAGCCCCCTAATATGAAGCATATAGAGGACTTACGATTTATATAAAACAGACATATTTTTATTATATTATTTTCATTATGGTATTCTCATGCTATTTGAAGAATGGATGAGTTTCGGAAGTCTTCTTGTATAATTAAATCATCAAGGACTTAGTCTGAAGAAAATCCAACTGAAAAGCTTGTGCTGTCCATGCACTTACTAATCTTGCTGCTTTTGAAATCCATTTGCCAGAAATGTGTTCATCACGAACAAAGCTTACAAATCAATCAAATCTTGAGCTAGTCTTTAGAGTGTTATTTTGGTTCTTCCTTTTTATATTTATAATCTTTGTTAAGGTTCCTTACAATGGTTATTTCTTTTTGATTGAAAACAAGTAGAAAAAATTGTATGTACTTGATTAACAGCCAATTAAGTAGGTGCTAAAGTTATAGAACTATATATTGTAATTTATGATAATAATTATAAATACTTTACTAGCCTAAAAGATATACAGCCTGATAAAAATCTTGAAATTTGCAAATGTTCAATTAAAAAGTTGAATATAACTCTGTAAGCTATGAAATTCATTAATTACTAGCCATTTTAAGGGTCTGCATAAAGAATATTAGAGAACTATTTTATTTATGTGTTTAAATTCAATAATTTAATTATTTTTTCCATTTATTAGCTCCACACAGTCACTATGTATTTAATAATTCAATCATAATAAATGGTAGTGATGTTGTGAAGTTGTTTTTATACTAGTTATATGCATACTCGTTGAAATAATTCTTCACACATCTTTTTGAAATTAATTTTTTACAGTCTGGATAGAGACAGACCATCATATAAAAAGTCAGACACACTCTCAATTTCTTCTACATCATCAAGAGGATCTCAAGTAAGTGTTTTTAAAAAAAAAAAATTCTTATTTATGCAACAGGGATTTACACACCTCAATACAGAATGGAATAAATCATTTAATGAATAAAGTAAGAAATAATTTACTGTCATCACATTGATGTCAGGAGTCCCAAAAATCCTTTCCGGGGGGGGGGGGGGGGGGACTTAGC